CTGGGCACTGGTTCGAGGTCCCATGGCTAAGAGTGGGGGAAAGCGGGATTTGACTCCTGATCTTCTGGGGCTCCTAAGAGCCCCAGCCCCCCAGCTCTTAGGAAGGTACACTTGTTTTTTCAGCATTTCCTGTGCCCCAGTATACCGCAAAGCAGCTAGGATGAAAGAGCAAAAGAAAATACTATAGTTTATGGAACTTGTTGGGACTCTGGTAGGACCTAGAAGACCTTTGACTGACTGCTTCAATTCTGAGCTCATTTGCTGATCTTCGGCTGCATGGGGTGTCCATCCTGCCACTTCCTTCCACTTCTGGTTGGCTTCTCCTGGGCATCTTCGTGCTTCTGCTTAAAGTTCATCTTTCATGAGGCCCTTCCAGACTGGGGGGAGACTGGCTTTTCCCTCGGGGTCACCCAGAAACCCACACTGTCACCTGCAAATTACCCCATGGGCTAAAAAATTAATTAATCCAGGAAACAATACGGTGCAACTCAACATTACTAACCATGCTCTGTGGGTAACTAGTTCCAGCGAGTTAACGGAACGGCGGGCACACAGCACCTCCCCAGGCTTTGCAGCTGACTGATGTCTCCTAGAGCCTTGGCTGTTCACCAGGGGCCTTAAGCCACAGCATCTAGGGCACCAAAGATCCTGCTCTGATCCAGTGAAGAACGAGGGAGCAACTTTACATTTGATTGCAGCGAGGAGCCTGCAGCAGGCAGGGTCAGTGAATGTAATGGTGTTGATGAAGATATGCACAGAGACCTCATTCTGATGCCAACCCGTTAGAAGCATTTTGCATATATTATGCATTAATCACCCGCCAATCCCTTTGTACTCTTGGTTATTATTGCATTTTACAAGTGCGCAAATCTGTGTGAAGTGTGCAGGTATATTGTAATGTTAGGACACTAACATCCACATTGGCATCCAGGACGTGTGGTACTCAGCTTGTGGGCTGGTGGTGCAGCTCAGATGCCTCTGTTAGGCAGACTTTGGACACTGGCTGGCATGCCAGCATTTATTGAGTTATTACTGTATACTAGGCATGATTCAGAGCACTTGCATGAATTATGTTACTGTTAATTATTTTAGTCCTCACTAAAAGAGAGCTGCTATGATATGATTATACGTGACTTAAAGATGAGGAAGCTAAGGGCCTCCTCTGGTGGTGCAGTGGTTGAGCGCTGGGCTGTGAAGCTGCCCGCAGCCTCTGCAGTGCTGGTTCGATCCCCGGCCCCTGGCGAGGGTCCCATGTGGCGCGCAGACCTCTCCTGCCGCCCGCTGCTCCCCTCAGCAGTGTACTTCGGTCCTTCTGCCTGCTCTGCTCCCCGCTCTGGCTGTGGTGAATTCTCTCACCCTCCTGCACTTCTGATTGTACCCAGTGCTTGTATAAATGAATAAATAAATAAATAAAAGTCTTTTTTAAAAAAAAAAAGATGAGGAAGCTAAGTCAGAGGGGCACTATAGTTTGCCCAGTCAGTGCCTGGCAAGGCCGAGGTCAGCGAGACCATCGGGCACTTGTCCACTGGCCTCTACCTGAGTCCTCCACCCCACCTGGGGAGGGACTGTGGCCAGGGTGGGAGGGACACGGCCCCAGGCTCCATGTGGGTTAGAGCCTCTGGTCCCTGTCCGTACTCTTGTCCATGCCACTTGCTTTGGCTTCCACTTGGGATGGCGTCAAAGGTTGATGTTGTCTGTGTCCTGTTGGCTTCTGTTCTGACCTGAGACTGCCCCAGTAGGGACAGAAATGGAGGTGCGCCTGTGAGGCCCATTCCTCACGGATCCCCAGCGACCTTGCAAGGGTCATACTGAGTGAACATCTCCATGTCGTAAAGAGCAATCCGTGGCCCAGTGAGGGTGAGCCGCTGGGTCACACAGCGGGCGAGGGGCAGAGCCTGGTCCAGGCCGTGTCTGTAGGACTTACTCCATGGTGGAGACTCACCCCTGCCCCGGGACAGGGCTGCCGGTCGCTGCCAGCGCCAGGTGTTTCCCGCGGTGGGGGGGCTCCTTGTCTGCTGTCTCTGGGCCTCTCCCGGCCCCCTGCTCCGTGACCTCCTCTCTCCCCCCGCCTTAGCCTGGAGCTTTTCAGAGCAACCGTGAGATTTTCCTTAGTCCGGAACTGTTTCTGCTGTTGCTTGTGCATCTGAGCACCTGCTGAGCTGATGAGCTTTTGAAATGTCACTTGAGTATGGGGAGGGAGCTGTGGGTGATTCACAGGAACACACAATCCCAGCTGCCTCCTCGGGGTGGGCGGTGGGCGGAGGGGGGCGGCTGAGCCTCCTCCAGCCCGTCTCCCAGGGTGAGGCGAGAGGCTGTTTTTCTTGCTCTTGCCGTCAGCACAGGTACCCATTAGCCTGGCCGCTGTCGTCAGCGGGCGGACGGTGGCTGTGCTCTCTCTAATAGCATTGGTTCCGTATTTTTTATATCAGCTTTAGAGAATACCATTAAAATTGCATCCTGTTTCCTTCTGGATTTCTCTTTCCAGAAGAATGCCCATGTGCCCGAAATTCTGTGTCTAAAGTCGGGATTTTCATTCCATCTTTACATGCAGAGCCTCCTTGGTCACCCTGTGCCCCCCAAACATGCATCATGCAATCTAACTTAAAAATGGGATTCTCTCATTTTCCCCTCTCAATTGAGAGCGGGTATGGAAATGAAGTTTTTGGTTCTTTGTCCCTCTTTTGTATGGTTGTCACTCAGAGGCTTGGCAGAAAAGTATCTGGTACATCAAAGAGTTGACAGAAAAGGTTGACTGAAGGTGTGTCATGGGATTGAGGAGCAGACACAGGAATGAGGGTCTCTGGAGCATGAGGACAAGCCCTTTGCCTTCATTCAGATTCTAGAACAAGACCACAGGCCAGTGACCTGGGAACAACAGAAATGTATTTCCCACAGTTCTGGGGGCTAGAATGTCCAAGATCAGGTGCAGGGCAAATGAGGTGTCGGGTTCATAGAGAGATATCTTCTTGTTGTGTCCTCATATGGGGTGAGGTCAAGGGAGCTCTGTGGGGTCTTTTATGAGGGCACTAATCTCCATCGTGAGGGTCCCACCCTCGTAACTTGCCTCCTCCCAAAGGCCCCTCTCCAAATACATCACATGGGGGTTCAGTTTCACCACGTGAATTGAGGGGGGACAGTCAGTTGATGGCACACACCCACCCTAGAAATAAGGGCAGGAGGAGAAGCTGGCTTGAGCTATGCTGTGGTAGACAGAGCCCCAGTTGACCCCGCAGGGAGGAAGCAGGGCAGGGACAAGGGCGAGGGATTTAGCCATGGAGGTCAGCCTCCAAGGGCACAGATCACAGTGGCAAAGGATGGGACTTTCACAAGGGGCAGCCAGAGAATAGTCAGAGCCATGCCCTTCAGATGCTTGAGTAACTTTACCCAGTAGGTGGTGCTTCTGAGACAGCCTGGGAGCAGCTTTGTCATCCTTAAGTGCTCTCCCAAGGGGTTATACGTCTTGGGAAACTGGGAAATTGCTTAGCTTATGCCTTGGAGGTTTTGTAATCCTCCAAGTGACTGGAAGGGTCCTGGGTTTTTCAGATGCTTTTAAATCCCAGTCTTTTAGTTTTAATCTGTTTTACTTGCATGCCTGTGTCTCCAAGGCCATTTGAAAGGGTTCATTATGCCTCATGATGATCAACTAATTTGCCTTAGTATCATAGGGGATTGTATATAAATTACTCGCGTGGCATTACATCCAAAGGTACTTTTATCATATGATAACTTGATGTCTAGAAATGTCTAGAAGTTTCTAGATTTTGCAAAGCAGAGAAATTATGTGGGGAAGCAGTTGAGGACTGAAAAAATGTTAGTGGAGTAAGGTGTTAGTGAGGAGGCTGACACCATGCAGCTTGCATCTGGAGGCTTGGATTCTGCTGCTGGCTCCTGCTTGCACTTGTCTGTGGCCTTACGACCATCTCTAGGTACTAGAGAAGGAGAGGCAAAGATGACTTCCATAGGCAAACTTCAATGGGCTCCTCTGAGCCCTCCTCTAGGCTAGATCAGACTGTCTTTGGCCTGTCCAACCCATTTTGACCAAGAATCCTGCTAAGTCAGTTTGGAGAGAACCCCCACCATTGATGGGGTGCAGTCAGCAAGAACCCTGTCTGCTTAACAAGTATCCCCACTGCCCCTTGCTATCTCCTCTTGGTAATTCACACACACACATCCCCACCTGCATTCTGCTTATCCCCAATAAATCCCCACTTATCTTAGGGTTTTTGGAGGGGAGCCCGGCCTCTCTCCTCTCTTGCTTGGCTCCAGATTTTCTCCAGTTGCAGTAATCACAGATAAAATCTTCCCAACTTTTCTCCAGTTGCAGTAATCACAGATAAAATCTTCCCAACTCTTTAAACAAGTGTCAGAATTATTTTTTCTTTAGCACCACTCATCATAAAACCTGGGAATTATTGTGAATCCTCATGGACCCCCCCCAGTCCAACCTCACCAATGTCGAAAGCCCTGTGGATACCACCCAGAGGTCCCCAGTCACCCCCCTGGTGCGCTGATTCTCATTGTTAAGAAGCCCTGCCTCTACCTCAAGCTCAAAATCCACCTTCCCTTTTACTTATTGATCTCCACTTTGCCTTTTCTCAAAATTTGTTCCTCTTCCTCTTTGAACAAATACATTAACTTTTAAAATTTTAAACATCTTCATGAAAATCATCCCAGGCTGCATCCACCTTGCTTGCTTTCTGTCCAGGTCGAACCTGGGTGAACCTGTGTTGCCAACTTGGGGATACCGTTGGCACATGCAGGCCGCGTGAGGGGGAGGTTCCAGGGGTTGATTCTGTGCACCCTGCCTTGTTCTGTAAACTCCTGGCTCACTTGCCTCCCAATTCTGAGTCCTTTGTTTCTTTCCTCTGCTGTTCGTTCTGATGCCTCATTTGATAGAGTTTTGCATATGTTGCCCTTCTTTTTCTTCCATGGAATAGAATGCATGGACTTTGGGAAAGCTGGTTGTCACTCAGAAATCTTTTTTCTTTTTAAATTTTCAGGTTGATGGCTGTGTTCCAGTTGGCCACACGATCAGAAGCCTGACCTCCGCATGGTGAGCAGTTTACATTCTTATATGTCCTGTGTGGGCTGGGAGGGACTTTGTAGGTGACCACAGCCCTCACCCCTAATCAAGAGCTACCTCCAGCTATGAAAGAACCAGGCAATATGGGGCACTCACTACAGAACCTCTGATGGACACTCGATTCAGAAAACAAACCCCATGATAGGGAAGGAGCTGTTTTGGTGAAAGAGAAACACCTGTCTCTTGAGAATGAAGGTTGTTGAGAAATGGTTCATGTCCTGTGTCCCTAGACTTGGTCTTGGAAGAATATTCCTGGAGTTGGTGGGCTATGCTCAGTGTCTTAGGAATTTCAGATCACCTGGATCTCTTTGCTATATCCTGCTGTTTTCTTACAAGAGTATCCTAAGTATGCTCTGCTTCACCCCTTTCCTGGCACTCTAACAAATAGGACTGAGGTTGGCAAATTACAGCTTTGGGCCAATTAAAAAAATTAATTATTTTTATTGAGCTCACATTAATTTATAACACTATAGGTTCTAGGAGTATTATTTTCGCAGCTTGACAATTGGGTATATCTTACCATGCCCACCACCAATGTCTAGTCATCTTCCACCAACAGTCATTCCTTCTACCTACTCTGTAGCTCCTTCTTCCACTCTGGTAACTGCTATTCTGTTGTAAGAACTTAAGATTTTTTTGTTTGTTTGCTTGCTTTTGATTTCTTTGTAGTCCACAGATGAGTGAAATCATAGACTTTGTATTTCTCCTTTTGACTTATTTGACTTAGCACAATCCTGTTGTCCTTAATTGTTGTCCTTAGCACAATCCTTGTTGTCCTGTTGTCCTTAGCACAATCCTTAATTGGTGGATGAATTAAGTCCACCCCTGTTGTCATAATTGGTAACAGTTTATCTTTTTTATGACTGTGTAGTGTTCCATCGAGTATATATACCACATCTTCTTCATCCGTTCATTCATTTGGAATCCGATACGTGGGTTGTTTCCATGTCTTGGCTATTATAAATAGTACTGCAGTGAACATAGGAGTGCCTATATATATTTGAGTTACTACTTCTATATTCTTTTGATAAATATCTAGAAGTGGAATTATTGGATCACCTGGTAAATCTATTTTTAATTTTGGAGGCATCTCCCTGTTGTTTTCTGTAGTGCCTACACCAGTTTATAACCCACTAACAGTACATGAGGGTCCCTTTTTCTGCACATTCTTGCCAATACTTCTTATTTCTTGACTTTCTGATAATAACCATTCTAACCAGCATGAGGTGAAATCTCCCTGTGGCTTTGATTTTATTTCTCTAATGATAAGTGATGATGAGCATTTTTCACATGTCTGCTGGCCATCTGCAAGTCTTTCTTTAGTGAAATGTCTGTTTACATCCTCTGATGTGCCTGTTTTTTAGATCTATTTATTTTGGAATGCAGCCACACCTGTGTTTTTTGTTTACAGATTATGGCTGCTTTTGGGCCACAGTGGCAGGGTAGAGTGATTGCCACAGAGAATATATATTCCCCCCAGGGCAGATATTTACTATTTGGCCCTTTATTAAACTGCTGAACCCGTGGGCTCAGGGCAAGCAGAGGATGAATAAGGCCAGCATGTGGGTTACAAAGAAATTTTCTTCCTCACGAATTTGAACTTCCATGACATACAAATGATGACTTCAAGTTATGAAAATAATTTTATTTTTCTTTGTTCCATTTTCTCCATGTTAGATGACAACCATCCTTATACTTCCAAGGAAACACATTTCAGCAGGGCTAGATCCTGTTACATAATGTCATTTTATTGACTAGACAGTTAAATTTTAGTAACCCTCAAGCTCAGCATTTTGAGACCTGATTTGATGGCCCCTCTCCTTCAGTAAGGAGGAAGCATCTCTTCCATCTGATTGTCCTGGTATGTGGTTTATTTTACCTTTGTGCAGGCAAGAATTCTCCATCCTTTTCATGAATGTTTCCTGCTAAGAATTTTCAAAATAAGTAGACTAGCTTATTTCTCCCGAAGTAGAACTCAGCTATTTTTATCTAAACAGGTTCCTTTTGTCTTTTGGCTTTATTGTGCGCTACATTATTATGGGTGAATTTGGAACACTTCATGTAAAAAAATTGAAACAGATTTACAATATAAAGGATTTTGCTTTCTTAATTGTGACTTAATGTTGCAGTATGTAATAAAAATCGGAGTGTAATTATTAAAAATGATAGAAGCAAAGAATGAAAACAATAAATAGTCTAGCAAAGATCCTGTTTCATAATGCATTTGGGTATAATTGGTGTAATAATGTGTAATTAACAATTTTCCCCTGCAGTGTGCCCTTAAGTTTGGGAGAGCAGGAGACCTCTTAGAACCAGGCGTGATGTCTCAATCACTTCCTACATTAGCACTTTGAATCTCTACACAGATCGTAGCAGCTCCCTACCTGCCTAGTTAGGTTTTTATTTTATTTTATTTTTGTATGGTAGAGAGATAGTAAGAGGGCTAGGATAGAGTGTCCCCTAATTCTTGACCAGCCACTCACTATTGTACTGGGATAGTCAAGGAAGAAAGGAGTGGAGAAATCCTTAATGGTCTTGTGACTTTAGCTCAGACTATGGGATCATTTCCTGGGGAGGTGGAGTAGACCATGTGGAGGACCTTTTTTCCCATGTGTCAGGTTGGCCTACACACAGGTTGAGAAACCTTGTCTTTACACAGGTTGAGAAACCATGTCTCATTTTCTAGAGGCTTCTCCAAACCTGGTTCCTGGATTTTATTGCTGAAATGGCCAGAAAAAACACAGCCAAGAAAGAGGGTGGAAGGAACTAGATTCCCAGAGGGAACCTGAGCCTTGGTGTCCCTTGGCCCTTCTACTAGACTCCTTAAGGATCAGGAGACCAGAACAGACAGGAATGCAAAGAGAAATGTTGGCAGAGAACATTCCAGGCAGGTCTAAGCTTTTATTTGCAACATGTTTGGTTCGAGAGTTCTTAATCCAAAATCACCACATCAAGGCTTCTTCTTGGAGCGATGGAGGTGGTAATGGTGGAGGGTTGGGGTGGTGGTGTTGATGGATGGGGTGGGGGTGAGGAGCTCTTTGTTACCCCCTTGTGACTGAGTCTCTTGGGGGACGTTTGCTCAGTGTGACTCTGTAGAGACTGATGTCAAAACACCAGTGCTGATCTTCTGAATGAGTTCTGGGACTGGGAAGAGGATGCAGCACTGAAGGAGACTACTGCTACTCAAAATTTGGGGCCTCTTCTTTGGCAGTCACTCTGGGTGCATTCTTTGGAATTTCTTCATCATCGGCTAGCCTTCTTCTTGGGTGGCTTTGCTTTTCAGTAAAATTCTTAATACATTTGCTTCTCAATTGGTTTCCATTCTGTTCACATAATATCCTTTCTCTACCAAGCAGTGAGAGGCATCTAAATAGTGATCAGATGTCATAACTTCTCTTTTTGCAACTTCCAATGGCTTCTTAGGACCATGTCCCTGGTGGTGGTGGTGGGGGGGGCATAAGATCACCCCAGTGGAAAAGAACCCCTGTCCTACACCCACACACTCAAGATTCTTCCATTAACCTTTTCTACCATCCTTTAACACTAGTCTATTAATGTGGTTCAAATTTGCTGAAGTGTAAGAAAGCGCTTTGAAACAGTGTTACTGGAATGTGGATTTTGGAATTTGAAGTTTTGTTTTTCAATCAACACCTGTGAACTCAGTTTCCTTGTTATCATTTTCCCTTTGTCAGTTATAAAATCTTCCTCCCTAACCAAGGAGTTTCTCACACTGCAGTGTGAGATTTCGATACTTAAAATCACAGACTTGACTCAAAGGAATCTTCATGGATCTGTGGGCAGTAAATGTCCCATTAATGTCAACACCCTCATCACCATCTTGTTCATCCCCATTTTTCTAAAGATGAGTCAAGTAAGGCCCAGTGAGGGACAGTAATTCACCCAAGTCATGGTATGTCAGAGCAGTGACCCAATGGGTATTTCTGGGCAATTTCCTTGCACTTTTGTTTTCTGCACAGGTTGATGCTGTGATTAGCAGAACTCTGGGGGCTCTTACCTCCCTCAGGAGGTCCCTGCTGCAGCTTGAACATAAAGTGCCCCTGTCATGGGTGCATCAAGGACGTGGGTATGATCAGGGAGTAGATGAGGGGAGTTAGAAAGAAGGAGTGGCAGAGAAAAGTACCTTAAATGGCAGAGATATTTTAACTGAAAAAGGGGGAACTGTATGTGAAAAACAATGCAAAAGAAATCAGAGAAGGAACAACCTTAATGAACAAACCAAAGAATCCAATCAACCAAATGCAATGTGTGGATCTTGTTTACAGCTTGATTTGAGTAGATCTAACCTGTGTGTGTGTGTGTGTGTGTGTGTGTGTGTGTGTGTGTGTGTGTGTGTGAGAGAGAGAGAGAGAGAGAGAGAGAGAGAGAGAGAGAGAATTAGAGACATTCAAATGCTGAAAGGATAATTGATAGCACAGTTGACTCTTAAGCAATATGGGGGAAGGGGATATTAGTCTAAAATCAAAGTATAACTTCTGACCTTCCAAAAATTTAACTATGAGCAGTTTGCTGTTATAAGAAGCCTTACCCATGACATAAACTGCATGTTTACACATATTTTGCATGTTATATGCAGTATGTGTTGTATGACAGAAAGTTAGTGAAAAGAAAATCTTACTGAGAACATCATGAGGAAAATAAACTTACAGTACCAGATTGTTTATATTGAAAAAAATTGCACATAAGTGGATCCATGAGATTCAAACCATTCTTCAACGATCATCTTTATGAAATTTTGGGGAGGGAGTTATAAAAATAGCATTGTGATTATATTTTAGAAGATTATATTTTTGGTTTCAGAAATACATATTAAAGCATTTATGTGGTGCAAAATATGGTTGTTGAGGTTTTCTTCAAAATATATAACCCTGTGTGGGAGGAGTTTGTTGAAGGAGGATTGAAGAGTTAAAGTTGGATTATGGATATGTGGGAATTATATACTCATAGTAAAA